CATGCAAAAATTACATTTACACACATAATGAATTTTCATTCGATTTTGTTTTTAATGTCATGAAATAGCAAGAATTTTTCCCTAATATTTAAATATTTCAGTGAAAAATTTCAGTCTGTATAGTTGTCCATTTCGTTCATTTTTTTCCTAACATGGTTTAAGCTTTTGCATTGCCTTTGCTGTGACAAATATATCTGACTTGTGTTTCCTGCTAATAAAAGGTCAGTAAACGAACATATGAATAGCGGTCCGGACTTGAACAGCTAACACTCGCTCCTGGGCCATAACCTTAGCCAAAAATGGCTTTAATTAAACTGGACAGTTTTATTGTGCTTTCTTTTATTTGAATTAAAGTACATATTTAAATTATATTTCTTCAAATACGTCTTAATCAGTACTTACTGCCACTGTTGATGAAAGGTACTAACCCAGTTAATGTCATTAGGATCCCAAAACAACTGCTTTTAAGTCGCAAGAAAAATGGCACACGAACCATGGAAGGACATGAAGTTGGGACGGTCAGTGTTGATTCTTAAATAGGTTGTGCAAGAAAGAAGAAGTATCCTCCCTTTTATTTTTATATAGTATATGTATGTGTAAGCAACCATATGAGCTATCATAATGGATAAATGCAACATGTCCCTTGAACTGTAATTGTTATTCTGTGTCTCGATCTAAACTTGGAAAAGATTTTTTTTTAAATGGGTGTCCAGTTGCTCATTTTATTACTTGGGTTATCAATGAGTGGGTGGGTGAGTCACATGTTTATTAAAATCCCATTATGAATGTGTATAAAAATTATCATATTTGCATGCGTTGTACTCGTAATTGCATGTCTCAAATTTAAGGCAAATTTCATTATAGCCAGAAGGACTAGTGTGCTGGGGAATTTACTAGTCCTGCCAAATCTTTACTAGTCCTGTCCAAAAAACAATATCACACACATGTATTGAGATTAACAATAATATTATTAATATATATCATTATTATATGAAATGCAGAAGTACAGAATTATAAATCAAATCCTGCTTCAAATCATCAATCAGTCAATTCACATTTCTTTTTTTTAAAGATAATATGGATTTAATTTCAGAAAAGGATCCAGGCTTCATTTCTCGTCTTCCACCTGCACTCTGGGTCCATATGGTGTTTGTTCTGGTCTGAAACATTCCACAAATGTATTACTGGTGATGGATCATTTGTTGGAATATCATTTGTATGGAACATTATAAGGAGTAGGTCGGACAGAACCCAAGGTCGAAAACATCATCTCCATTCACTCCTCACCATTTGTATCTCTGGGAAACCCTTCTCAGCATCAGCAGAGTGGGCCAGGATTGTTAGGAAAAGGTCAATTAATGTCTGAATATGCTTGCAGTCGGCAGCACGTCATTTTACAACTGTGGGCAAAGTCAAAGCATAGATGTCTTTGTAATTGCAAAATAATAAAATACATTAAGAAAATATTAATCTGAATAAATTTATATTACCTTTTGCAATCAAGATCCTATGCTAAATAATGAATTTTTAACAAATCTGGCATCAATGATGTTTTTTTATTTATTTTTAAATATTTGAATATACACCTACCTGATGTAGACTAAAGTCTTTAATATGTCCCATTCCAATTCCACTACATCAGCATCCACACATGCATTGACAAGCACTGGCTGGAAATGATCTACCAAAACAAATTTCTGCCTTTCACTTCCCGACATATAGGGAGTAAATGTAACCACCTGTTTATCAATTCTGTAAGTCTCTCTAATATCAACTCCTTTCATCTCATCCAGCTAACGCAGCGATTCAAAATCAGTGAAGGTCTTAGGTTCTTTATCATAGCTCTTTTCACCGGTTGTCACCTGAGCGCAATGTTGTCCCGATAGGCAAAATTCGCGAAATTCGCACGTTTCGGAACCTGTAATTTCAGTTTGGTGCAACACAGAAAAATCAATTATGGCTTGATGAAAATCGAAATATATCTCAGGAGTAAAACAAGCCAAAGAATATGATCATGGGTAGAACAAAGTATTTGCAGTTTCCTGACTTTGTCTCTTATATGATAGACAGTGTCCTTTGTCAGAACGTGTCATGAAGTAATCTGAGATATTTTGTCACTCTGTATGATTGTTTTTCTTCAGATCATTGGGCATTTTTTCTCTGCATCAAGCATGCGTTGAGCACTTATAATTTCCAAGCTCTTACCAGCAGTCAATTCTGCTGGTTGTATCTGCATAGCTGCTTCTCTCTCTGAACTCTTTGTTCCCAATTAATCAGACCTTAGTGTATTTTGAAAATAATAATAAGGTGGAACATTTTCAAATCTCAGATGCCCATGCTCAGAGATTTTAAATTCCCAACAAATGTACAGCATTCTTCCTGGCTATCTCCATGTGTATTCAATTATTTGTTCATTCTTGTAAGGGAATAAAATATAAAATCTATCCTTATCATCATATAAAAAGTAGTTGTATGAAAAGAATGCATCAATAAAGTTATCATTATAAATTGATCTAATTTTTATATTTTTTTATGCAAATGTTAAATAGTTTCCTGTGTTTTAATGTTGGGGTATTTGGCTAGCGAGCAACCCCCTTTTCCTCACAATCCTTAATCAAATAAACATGCAAACTAATTTCTTAGAATAGCTTTTGTTGTGTTCTTTTGTGTGGTATACCATTTTGTAGTTTATTACTGTGGTCAAGTGAATAAAGTGTGATACCATGTCAATTTTCATTTCATTTAATTTGTTATTACATTAATTAGGATCAATTATTATTACATTAATTAGGATCAATTACCAAACTTCAGTGACAGTACCATAATTGACACTGTTAAGTGAAAAGCACAAATCAGATGGCTTCTTGTTATAGAAACGTACCTTTCCAAGGCAGATATTGACTTCATCTTCTCATGCTAATATTGTATGACTCTGTTGACAATGGTAACTGCTTTGTTTCTACAGGACATCTGCTGAAGTCAAGTCTTTATAAGGGAATGGCATAAACAAACACTGGCTGTTAATAACCAAAACTTACTAGCCCATCAGACTATTAACATTATGACAGTTACTAGTCCAACAGGAAATCTACTAGCCTCGGGCTAGTGGACTACCACAATTTTTGAGCCTTGAATTGACATTTGATGTTTGAATGGAGAGATACCTTTGGTAAATATGACTTGAAAGGAACACAGTAGAAACTTTACACAATAGTGAATTTTAAATAAGAGTAACTACATAACAATACCTTAATTGCAAGTTACAAAAGCTAATTCAACCATCACTTAAAAACAAAAAACAATCTTTTCTAAACTTTCTGAACAATCACTATGGCAGTGATAACTGTTTTGAAACAACCACTATAACATGTACATGAGCAAAGCACACGTTTTTCATAACATTCTATTCATCCTAATTTCATTACTGTAACTATTCACAGACAACATTGATGTATTAAAGTCAATATGTGAATGAACCAGACTCTTCTTTCCATCTAATTTAACACAGCCAACCTGCAGGTGTATCTGTTTTTGAAAGAGGGATTTTCTTAATACAACCATTCACTTTCTAGCCTCATTATCCCTTGATAGGATTGCAAATGTATGGTAAACTTATGTGCAAGTTCATATGAAAACAACACAAAATTCTAACTCTATAGATGCATCACCACTCCTCATTAAATTTACTTTCCCCGCATCCCATGTAGGTTATAGTGGAATAACCCTTACCAAAAATTCAGGAGTTCTCTACATCATGAAAGTAGGAAACAGGTGTTTGCAGACTGTATGCACTGTAATCAGCTAGAGATTACCAATTAATTAGCTTTTATCAAAGTGCCAAAAGACCATTACATTCTCAAGAGTTGTCAGAACAAGGCCAGCCTATTCTCATGAAGTGTTTGAAGCCATTGATGTAATAGTTGATGAATTTTTATCACACCTGAATAAAATGGGGCATAACACTCCTACATTGGTGGTACAGGGAGCTGCACAAAGCAGCAATCCTCTTGCAGATGTAAATGGATAAATAGCCAGATACCACATTTAGGTATGCCCTAGTTTACCAACATTATTTGTTGTTTTTTTTAATTATTGTTTTTTTATGCAGAAAATATTTTTCTCATATAAAATCTTTCAAATTATATGTTTCTCAAAACTTTTAAAATTTCAGGATGACAATTCCAAACTTCGCACTAACAATCATTTTTAAAAATGAAATGAGTGATATATCCGGCATAAAATTATAAATCTGATCCTGGCTTTTTTGTTTGTGGCATTTCTAGCAGAATAACCAACTGCCTATACACTACTACATGTGAGTTAAACATGCATGCTAAAAAATAGGGCTGGTATAATCTGAAGTTCTAAAATGACAAAAAAAATTATGATTTTACATTCTTGATTTTAAATTCTTGACAATGTTTACAATGTTACGTTTATGTTCAATTTTGTGCAGTATTATCAGAGGGGTAAAATTACATACTTGATCTCTGGTGACTGTGGTCTGCACTTGTGAAGGTGATCAATAGCACTCTCTGGGAATGGCTGCTCCTCAATCGTTAGTTGTCTAAGCAGATCTGGGCCATGATACTCAATGGCCAGACCCAACAAATGAGAATCCATCTTCACTCACACTTCATCTGAAATAAAACCAAAATATTATGTTACATTGCTGAGAAATTCTTTTCAAAAGGATTTAATGTAAACAATGAGAACTTAATGTAAACTGATATGGTCTTGGTAGCCAACTCATTAACAAATCTAGTGCATTAAAATAATTGTGTAGGATTTAGATTTTTAATGTAGCTTTAACAATTTTTCAATCATATCGCTACAATGTCTGCAGTGTGACAGTTTATAGTGATGTCTAGAATTGGGGCAACATGCTGCAGACATGTGACATGATGTCCCACCTATTCACAATATCCTGACACCAGTCCGACCAGTCCTAACACTAGCTGAGCATCAAGCAAAGCAGCTGTTTTTTAAAGTCTTTGGTATGACTTGGCTGGAGTTTGAATCTTTGACCTTCCACATCCAAGGTGGATGCTCTAACCACTAGGCCACCAGAGCGGTCGCATTAAAATGAAATTGCTGCAAAACACTTTTAAAAATGCTATAATAATACTCCTCTTTCACTGTTGAAATATATTCTAAATTGTGAAAACTGGAAACAAAACTTATCAGAGAACATGAGCTAAAAAAGTTTAACCAAAAATTCACTTGTATTATGGAATACATATTGTGGTCATCTATAATTTCTAGGGAAAGGTTTATTACTCTATTTGATGCATTTAAAACACCAATAGTATTTTTTGAAATAACCCAAACATAAACCTAATGCTGAGTGTTGATACATAGATATTATTAATCAACAGGCTAAAGTAATTGCTTTGAAATCGAGCTGAAAAGTATTCATGGCTACCGCCAGTATTTCTACCACTTTTGATAGAGTGCAAAAACATGTAGTAGTTCAGAAAAGAGAAACAATTACATTGTTCTACTGCATAGCACATTCTTTCATTCTAAAAATGAGTTATTTATCAAACTACCTATGTTCTAAAACAAAGGAAAGATTACTGGAATATGGTTCATGATCACAATCTGGCACAGATATCCAATGATCACGTTAAATATAAATTCTACATCACTGTAAAATATTTGAACCAGAAAAGGTGATCAGATTGAGTAAAAACCATCCTTAGTGTAAAACGTGGGGAAAATTATCAAATTTGGGGGTCTCTTATACACAAATAAAGGAAATGAGAAACATTGATTTGAACATCCAAAGTTTGTCTAATGTTTTAATCTATATTGTATTTAAGAATTTGTAATGAAGAAACACTATGAACAGACAATTAAAATTCTGCTGGGGAGCTACGGTATTTCAAGCCAATATATTTCTTTTCCACCTCATAATTTCCTCAATATAATGGACCTAATTAGCTATCTTTGTACAAAACAAAGAAAGAATTCTTTTTTTTCAGTCAATCTGGAGCCAGATGTTATTTATCAAAGATAAGCCAAGGTCTAACCTCAGGAAGAAAATTATATATGGTGCATCCCATAAATGATTGACAGAGGATAAATTGTTGCTCTGCATAAATTATTGCCAAAATACTGATATCTAGCAAATGGGTGTGAACTTTTACTGATTATTCACTTCTTTATCATTTAATAATTTTAAAGGTATGAATAATTATAGGTTACTGCATTTGTATGGTAAAATATGAATGATTTTTCAGATGGATAAATTTCATGACCTTGGAAGTGCTGTATATGCATCTGACAAAACGAGTTCATATTTTCCCATACAAATGCAGCAACCTTTTTATTATATGCTCCTTATCTTATTCTACAAAACATTTATTTATATAAAAAACTACACTATAAGAAACAAAGTAACTGAATGTATACCATATTCTAAACTATATACCCAAGCATAGTTGGTTAATTTTTTCTTGTGTACCAAACAGCTTTTTCTGAAGTGCGTTCTCTTCTTTCTACTTTATACTATAAAATCATATTGGTCCCATGTTTCCCAAAAATCATTATAGGCGTTTCAGAAAAATTTTCACGAGATATTTCACATTGAATTTTATGGGTTTGTAATCTTTTAAAAAAATTTTTAGTTGTTTTTAACTCACGTAACTGCTCATCGAGTTGCTCTATAGTCAGTATCAATTTCTTCGTATAATTCAACAAGATCATTTTAACAAATATGTGGACTTCTACCACAAATGGTGGTGGTTGACCATGATCGCCGCACAATATAAACTTTTGTATTATTTTGTAATAACCATAAAGAAACATCTTCTGAAAACAGTACATGCTTCATCCAAAATAAAACGCTGGAATAAATTTTTCACCATTCGATCAGGAGTCCACGTATAGCCTTGTTATCGAAAAAAAACTATGATACGTGCAAGCTTCAAACGGAAAAATCATTTGGATTTTTGGGTTGGTTTATCTCTCTCGCTAGTTATGGGATGGTGTTGGACAAAATTTGGCTTTCTCTATGATATAATTCTATAACACGTGTTGTCTTCCAGATCCACCCAACGTTTAAATAAATGTTTTTTATCTACTAATTGGATTCTGTATATCGGTGGTGCTGTAGACATAGACAGAGAAAATACTTCGGATTTTTACTGATGAATTATCGTTTTTCATGGTAACTGCTTTTAATCTCAAGGTCTGATGATTCAGAATAATCGCATTGTATTTACGGTTAATTCGACATGTTCACCAAGTCTCTTCGCTATTAGTAAATTAGTTACCTCTTTGATATATTTTTATCGACATACATAGAATCAATTGCAACTCTAACTGCTATACTAGGAAATCTATTTACTCATTGCAAATAAATAGATAGCTGCATACCCCCGCATAGAAGCTCTCAAATGTAGATATGCAGAGCTTTCTCCATCACTGTAAGTAACAATTCTACCTACCTTTGTTTTATTAGACAAGAAGGCTGTTTTACAATTTCCGTATCTATTTTTCTCTACTGCATCTTTAATAACGAAGTCGTATTCGGCATCATCTATAATCAATCGTGGAGGATTGTCTTTTAAAGTTAATTTTTTTTCCACCTTGTGTAAATTTACCGATTATTCTTCGGCCGAGATCCTTTGCTTCACTATTTCGTTGATTTAAATATCTTTTTGACCTTCAATGATGTACTACTCGTCAGCATCAATATGTTTTCTAGACCTTATCGATTATACTATCAAGACATTCTGGTTCTGGTAACCAGACATTAGTTTGTTTTTGATATGAGATAATCGCTTCGCTGACAATCAACGAAACTAACATTTACAATCAATCATATATCGCAATAAACACTATTGGTAACCACATCCTTTCAGCATGTGTCTACCAATCCAAAACATAACAACACGGATGAAGTCCTTCAGCGAATTCAAATGATACTACGCGAGCAAAACGGTCAAATCAAAATCAAATCAGGAGTGGTCCATTAATAGCAACGCGAGTCATTTCATGTGTGGGATGTCCAAAACCTTTTAAAATACTCACCAGCGAATCCATATCCTGAAAACTTCCTGGATAACAGGCAACGAATCAACTGATATCAACTTTCCACGATTTGTACTTTAACGTTCCATAGACCTCCATGATAATATTCCAAACAGCTGGATTGAACATCCTGTAAAAAACTCTTTTCGTGTTGGTTTCCAATTATTTTTCTTTCTTACAAATGAGCTGCAACCGATGGAATTTAAAAACAATTTGTAAGTAAATGTTCGTAATCGTCGGATTTCCATTAAAAACGCTAAGCGTTTTCACTGAGACTTATTGCTAGATTTTTCATCCTATATGTAGACTTTCAGTACGATATCATTCACCGTTAAGGTTTCAAATTGATTGAATTGACATTCTTCATCTTCAAAACTATGAAGTAGCCATACTGATACAGGGTCGTTTTTACACAAACTAAACTAGCAATAGCATCGCATAATCTTTCTTCAGTGAGAATACCATCCTTGGTGAATTCTTCTGGGATATACTTCACTGTTTCTGTTCGCGGGATTATTGTAAACGCGGTGTCAATGCGTGTTTGTTATGATCAATAATTTTGATTGGAGAGCTCCGTTTTTAATGTATTTCGATTCGTATATTACTTCGTCCAGTTATCGTTGAACGGTTTGAGGAAATTCTCAACGACTTTTCCATCTTGCTATTGCGGAAATAGTTGCTCCCGTTTATCTTTCTCTGTTAGCTCCCATTGACTTATTTGTTAAGTTTTGATAGGTTATTTATTCCCACGGTGTGCATTTGTAAGTGTTCTATGCCGTTGTGCCACACAGTTGAGTGGTTTTTTCACTGACGTTGGCGTTTCATTGGTGATTAGTTTTCCAATGTCAGGTTTCTTATTAACGGATACATACCTTAAACAAGTGCTGATTCTGGTTTAGCTTTTGCAGCTTAGTTATGGTTTTTCAATTTCAGTTAACTGCCATGGTACTGGAATCAGGCACTATCTATGACTGTGTTTTTCTTTGAGGAATTGGCTCAATATTGTTCTTATAACCCAATCGGCCGATCTAAATTGATAATGAATTTTCACGCTGAGAAAATACATTTTCATTGCAAGTTGTGATTGTATCATAGCTGCTGTATCATCATTCATTTAGCATCTACAATACCATTCAATTTAATGTTGACCAGGTGTATGATGGCGCCGATCCTGTTAAAACTCATTATCAAATATAGTATTTTTCTAATCAGACTTCTAATATTTTTATATCTTTTGTAACAAACTTCGAGGGTTCTATCAAGATTAATTATTATTTTCCAGGATGATGGCCGATAGTTCTTGATTCTTCATAATATAAATAAAGCAAACATTTAATAGTAAATTTTGTTTCATATATAATGAATCATTGCAATTGGCTTATGATTGGATTCAGTAACCCCTGCAATAAATCGTGTAGAGGTGAATTATGTGGACATCATTACAGAGCGTCAGAAATAATTCGACAGGCCCGTCCAATGCATAAAATTGTGGGGTGGTTGTGCGAGGGAAAATCCACAATTATGTATCAATTGTGGGGAGTAAGCAGTTTAGAGAATTGGAAAAACGTTATTATGATAAACGAATTAAACAAAATGCTCTCATTGACCTAAACATGACTATGTCAAAGAACCAAATCATATAAAACCCTCAAAGACTAAAAAAATAGATTTATTATTTTAAGCAAAATATGAATTAGACAATGTATTATTATATATAATGGGCAGGAATTCGACCACATCCAATATGTTTTAATTATGAAATATCTGATGATGGTGGTTGTTAGACATGATGTAGACTGAAATAGCAATTGTTTTGTTAATAATCAAGGGTTCATTGCAATTTACTGCTGAAGAAATGAATTATTACGTTCACAGAATTGTATATGAAGCATTTTATTGGATTGTTAAAGATGGTAATGTTATTGTTCATATGACTCTATTCCTTTATACAACGAGATTTCCAATGTACAATGATTTCACAAGAGAGAAGAACAAAAAGGGAATGACAGGAAAAAAACTCAAAACGACGCCAAGGAG